TATGTTCAGACATACTAAAATACTAGCAGTATGTTTCTTACATTTCCGGGAGGTTGATTTTGTATTTGATTTTAATGTCTGCTCTCAACTTACCTGAACATCTGTGTTTGTATAAATGTTCATAAACAGTTTCCTCTGCTCTTTGCTCCATCAGCACCATCCTGGTGGAGCCATGCTGTGAGGCCCATCTGACAGAAGGGGGCGATGTTTGCATTTCCGTGGGCTCTGACCCACACTGTGCCCTGGGCACCGAGCTCAACACCGTGCAGCTCTCCATCTTCTCCCACCGCTTCATGAGCATAGCAGGTATAAAAAGAGAGAAGAAGAGAGAGTGAGGACAAAGGGAAAAATCTATTTGGAAGAAAACTGAAGAAAATCTATAAAGCTTTGGTTATGTTTTAATGTTAACTTCTTATTTAGTTGTTCCATGTATCTTTCCTCTACAGAGCAAATGGGCCGAGTTCTCCAAAGAACCTCCATCTCCACCAACATCAAGGAACGTCTCGACTTCTCCTGCGCTGTGTTCGGACCAGACGGCGGTCTCGTGTCCAACGCACCTCACATACCCGTTCACCTGGGGGCCATGCAGGAGACAGTCCAGTACCAGGTGAGGGATGTGTGGCTGTGCTGTGTTGCTTCAGCAGCAGAACGGCACCCAGAAACATAGCAGATACACAACATAACTCATCTAGGAAGAGTGGAAAAGTAATTCTACTGCATTTTCTCTCCGCAGATCAGATCGCTGGGGAGCAAACTGAGAGAAGGGGATGTGATTCTGAGTAACCACCCGTGTGCTGGGGGCAGCCACCTTCCGGACCTCACAGTCATCACACCAGTCAGTCCTTGCTCTCCTCAGCATCACTCTTTTCTTTCTCATCTCTTTCTCACTGTTTTATTTCTCCTCCTTCTCATCTCAGGTGTTTAGAAAAGGCGTGAGTGGTCCTGTTTTCTTCGTAGCCAGCAGGGGTCACCATGCCGACATTGGTGGCATCACTCCAGGCTCCATGCCCCCTCATTCCACCTCTCTTCAGCAGGAGGGCGCTGTCTTCATGTCCTTTAAGCTCGTCACTGGTGGGGTCTTCCAGGAGGAGGGTAAGAGATAAAAGAGGCTGATGAAAAGGAGTAGACGTGATACAGAGCTGTATCTTATCCACAAGATAAAGAATCCTCCATGAGACGGCACTAACTCAGTGACTGTATGCATAGTAGGGCCAAGCATTTAAACTAAAAGATGGGATTGAATATTTAGTGTCATCTTTTGTTACATTCACATCACTTTCTCCATTCTTTTTTTTCCCATCATGCTTTTCTCTTTATCCGCTCTCTCTTCCCCATTTCTCCCTCCTGCTGCTTCCCCTTCCTTCTCCATATCAGCTGTAACCGAAGCTCTGATGGCTCCGGCCCAGTACCCAGACTGCTCTGGGACTCGTAATCTCCACGACAACCTGTCAGACCTGCGGGCTCAGGTGGCAGCCAATCAGAGAGGCAGCCAGCTGGTGGGGGAGTTGATTGACAATTACGGACTGGCTGTGGTGCAGGCATACATGGGGTACATCCAGGTAAGTGTGTGAAACAGAAGAAAAGGAAAACTGAAAAGTATTGTGTTTTATCATTGGTTGTGTTGCACTGTTCCAGCCTTTGTGTGTAACTATTTCAGAGCAATGCAGAGCTTGCAGTCAGGGACATGCTGAGAGACTTTGCACGTCGTCGACGGCAACAGACTGGATCCCTGGAGGTGGAGTCGGAGGATTTCATGGATGACGGGACACCAATCAGACTGCGGGTGCAGATTAATGAAGAGGAGGTGAGCAGCGGGAATCTCAGTGGGGGGGATTCTAACTTTATCTTACAAAGTGAAAACCAAGAATATTAACACTGTAAACCTCCATCATTCCAGGGAAGTGCAGTGTTTGACTTCTCTGGGACTGGGACAGAGGTGTGGGGGAACTGCAACGCTCCTCGGGCCATCACCCTCTCTGCCCTCATCTACTGCCTGCGCTGTATGGTGGGACAGGACATCCCCCTCAATCAGGTTCACATGTTTCATTCCAATATTTTAGAGATGAGTTCCAATAGGCAGCTTTAAATCTGTTCATGTGTTTTTTTGAATTTTTTGAATAAAAAAATGTTAATATTTATTTATTGTTGACTTGATCATGTCCAGGGTTGTCTTGCACCGATCAAAGTCATCATCCCCCCTGGCTCAATCCTCCAGCCTTCCCAGAATGCAGCTGTGGTTGGCGGAAATGTTCTCACATCCCAGAGAGTAGTTGACGTCATCTTCAGAGCGTTTGAAGTGTGCGCTGCATCACAGGTAAAAAAAAAAAAAAAACTTAATTTGTCTTTTAGAACATTTTTGCACTTTTTAGTCAGTTCAATGTCTAATGTGTTTTTTTTTATGTGTCATTCTTCTTTCTATCAGGGCTGCATGAACAACATTTCATTTGGCAGTGAGAGGATCGGTTACTACGAAACTGTTGCAGGGGGAGCAGGGGCGGGGCCAGGCTGGAGTGGGCGGAGTGGCGTTCACAGTCACATGACTAACACACGCATCACTGACCCTGAAATTCTGGAGAAGAGGTCGGACATCAGTTCAAGTTTGACTTAAAGAATCTTGTATTTGTCTTACAACAACGTGTTGTTATCATTGATCTGTACGTTGTTCAGGTACCCAGTGATTTTGGAGCAGTTCTCTCTGCGGCCCGGCTCAGGAGGTGCAGGGAAGTACGCCGGTGGAGACGGAGTGATCCGCAAACTTCTGTTCAGGAACAATGTGGTTCTGTCTGTGCTGACGGAGAGGAGATCCACCTGCCCCTACGGCCTCCAGGGTAAACTCTCAGCCCTCAGACGTCCTCAATAAATGAGACTTTGTTATTGGTATTTTACCAAGTAGGCATAGGTCTCTGTCCTTCTTGTATGATGTGACGTTAGCTTCCATCCTCACCAATACCGGAAAATGCACATGACCATTCAAGTACACTGGGCACTTTTATCTGACAGTAAGTGTTAGTAATGGTTTGCATTTGCAGCTGTTAGTCGAGTAGTGACTGATAAGAGGCTATATCAGGTAACAAATGGGGTTGACTTCATCATTGCAACCCTAAACTTGAGAACTATTGTGTATGTAGCAAAAGTGATGCATCTTAAAACAAACCTGTTAGTGTGAATGATGCCTTTATCCTCTCTGTGCCTCCTTGTCAGGGGGTGAGGACGGTGCAGCAGGGCTGAATCTGCTCCACAGGGCAGATGGAAGAATCCTCAACCTGGGAGCAAAAACCAGCATCAGCCTCCAGCCTGGGGTAAGACAGCACAATGTGTATGTGGGGGAATATAGATAAAAGCACCACATTTTGATTAGACAAGAAAACCTTTCTGAATTGTATTTCACTGCAAGAAATTGTTTAACCAAGATGTGTAAAAGTACAAATTTTAAAAACCAAACCAAAAACTTTTCTGATCTAGAGCTTTAGATTTTAGATATGGTGAAACCCTCAGAATTCACAGCTTTCTACATAATTTTGATGAGGTACTAAGGTACTGATTGGGTATATTATTTATTTGTCAGTCGTTCCATCAGTTAGATACAGCCAAGGGTGTTATGAAATGGTCGGCACCCACCAAGTGCAGGCAGAGAAAAGTAACAAAAGATAGTTTGGCTTTGGGCCCTCAGTTGATTTTAACTAAGTATTGGGTATTGTGTCTCCCTCAACAGGACATGTTCTGCCTCTACACCCCTGGAGGAGGAGGATACGGAGGAGAGGAGGAAACAGACCATAAACCTCAGACCAAGCGCAGGCGCTTGAACGAGACATTCCTGGAGAGGGGCAGTGTATTCGAATACCGAATGGCACAAGAGGGAGTGTGAGAAGAAAAAAGAAAAACTGGTTTGATAAATATGGAAATATTCTTTAAAATTAGGAAGGAGCAATAGTCTCATCATCATCACTTTGATAAAGACACTCATGCTCACATTTACACCCACGGACAATTTAGTCTTTGATCAACCCGCTCGTGTTTGGACTCTGAGGTGGGAGGAAACTCTCACTGCACCAGTATTTCCACATGTAAAACACAGGAATATCATTTTCTGTGCTGCTACTTACAGCAACGGTACAATTTCTGGAACCAAGATTTTACAGAGAACCCATATTCACCACTGTGAGTAAGACCACTTGTAATTACATCAATTCCAGTTTAACTGCTCAAGAGGATCAAGCCGACCAGGTTTAACTGGAACAACCACTTATCTAACGGCACAACTTGATTATTTGGTTTTTGACAAATAAATCCAGTTTCTACCCATGAAATGTTCATATTTTTTTCAAAAGATATTAGTTTTGTCACAAATTTCGTAGGATGGGGGGGGATATACGGGGGCAGGGGTTATTATTATACAGCTTAAGCACAACCTACGAAGGCTGAGAATGAGACAGAGTAGTCCATGTAAATTCATGAGGGTGTGTTGAGATACAACCCAGAACGGTGGTGTCGGTGTATTTGGGGTGGGGGGTTGGGATAAAAAAAAGTGGTGTCCCTTCCTCTCATCTGTGGGTGAGGAGCAGAGGATGGTGAGGGAGTGCAGTGCAGGCATGCGTAAGGAGGCTGCTGATAAAGAGGGATAGTGGTCACAGCAGAGAGAAGCAGCAGGAGGCTGACGGCTGCTGGACTGTTGATGTAAATCAGCTGTGTGTGTGTGTGTGTGTTGGGATCTCCTGATACCATGGCCTGTGGATCAAAGATGGTTTTCTTGTTTATGGATCACAATTCATGTAGTAAAACAATCCATCATAGCGACTGACACCCTGCTGTCTTTCCACCAACTAATCATCAGCTTGAGGATCTGTGTCAATGGAGAGTGTGAACCAGTAAAATCCAGCTTTAAAGACAGAGGGTCCAACCAGCCATGACTCAATCATCTGGGAAAATATGTTAGAACTAAAAAGAAAATGCATTGAATGGCAAAAGTTTTTTTCATTGCGAAACATCACAGAGCAGCACAGTTAAAATAAACAGCATTTTATTACATACCCTGTTGAACTCCATTACATTCTTTTGACTCTCAAATCTCTGGGCTGACCTTTCACCTCAGCACTGTACAACAAGAGACCACAGGAAAAAAATGGCAGGAAACTGACAAAACATTTAGCTGTCGAGGTACAGGCAGACATTTATAAGCGATCTCCTTCGGAAGATGATCATGACATTTAAATAGTGCAAATAACCGGCTGTGTAAAATCCACAGGAATCACGATCCCGGTCAGAAGATGGTCTGCAGGGTCATGGGAAGACGGCAGCAGCTTTCCCAGATCGTCTAGAATCTAAAATGATGTTTTCTGATGTTAAACTTTATGTTAAAGTATCTCAAACAACAACAGAAACATGTCAGTAAACACCGAAATGAAGAAGACAATTTTAGAGCTAAATTGCAGCACCACTGTCAATAACGTTAATATATTGTAGCTGCACAGGATCAATTTAAGACGAGGATAACCACATAGTAAACTTGTAGTGTATATTTGGGCATCTGAGCAAAGAAAGACATAGTGTGGGACAGAAACAAAAATGACATTATTGAGTTTTTACGATATTCTGTTTAAAATACTTGCAAGATAAACTGAGAGATGCGCTTGTTGCACAGTTTTGCAGTCCAGCCCGTCATTGTTAGAATTTCACATGATTGTAAAACCCAAGATAAAATCCAACAATACATTCAGCAGTCACAATATGTGAGACAACATTCAAATGCAATTCCCGTAAGAAAAGTCATGCCAATAAAAAAATACACAGTGCAAATAACATCGGCAGTGCAAAGAGCAGAGACCTGAGGTAGATAGTTGTTTTGTTGTATAGTATTTGAGGTAGTTTTGCTCCAAATTGTAAAATAATACACAGATTAAGATATTTCTTTCAAAAATATTGAGCTTGAAAAAATGTCAATAAAACACTGACTTTTCAACTTGACTAAAACATGAATCAAACAATAGCTCTGTCTGCAGTTTAATGCCCTTGCATATTAGCCAACGTTGCTCAAGCTGTATGTAATGATTGAGACTAAGTCGCAGCACTTATGGTCACGTCACAGTGATTTAGCGTCCGTGCATGTTTGCATGATCTGCGTTTGAGAGGCAGTTTTTCAGTCAGTCAGTACTGTGGGTATCGGTTTAAAGGAGGCCCATTCTGCAGGGTGTACTGACTCGGTGGTTGATGATGTGAGTGAGAGTTCTGATTGGTCGGTACCAGGACGTCAAACACGCTTTTATTTGGAGGCACTGACTGCAACATATTGTCCAGATCCATGATGCGGGGAGGGGCTTGGACTGAAACGCACCCATTGGGCAGGATGGGCCAATATGCGTGACTTAAGAAGTGACCAGGTGCAACAGGGGAGCTACCGTAGCTATAAATGGGGAGTCCGCCATGCAGCGGCATTAGAGGACCGCCGTTGAACCGCATGCTGGGTGGAGCAACAGCATTGGGAGGAGCGTATTTGGCGTAGGATGTAGGGAGCTCCCATGGTGGTGCCACAGTCTCCCTTCTGGCTGATTTGTGCAGCGGTGGCCTATAGTCCTCATACCCATCCGACCCTGCTTCTCCATCTGGGGGAACACGCTTCCCAGACAAGGACAGTCCCTTCCATTCCTCATCAGAGGATGAGGAAGAGGTCGAAGCTGGGCTGGCAGAGCTGGCAGAGGCACTACGGGCAGAGGATGCATAGCGGGGTCGTGGAGGAGAAGGCCGAGGGCGCTCCACGTCACCCCAGCAGTCCCTGGTAGGCACATCCACATCCCCAGAAGCACTAGTCGGTCTGAGGCTGTGAAGCAGGGAGTCGATGGCGAAAGACGAGTCCAGCTTTGGGCGGAACAAGTCCTCCTGTGGTGGGGTGGGGTTTCTGGAGCGCATGGGAAGGATGGAGGTCACAGGGTCAGGAGTCGGCTCAGATTCTGGCTTGTGTCCCTGTAGGATGTAGGGAGCCAGATCCTGGGCAAAGATTGTCTCATCCTGGCGCGACACGGCCGTGTTCTGCCTCTTGAGGAGCTCCAGAGGAACACAGCTCAGCTCCACTGCCCAGAAATTGCCTTTGCCCTGAGGTTTGCCGGGGTCCTTCAGCACCTACAGGTGGAGGGAGTGTAGACAGTGAGAGGAATGTTTGACCTGACATCCTAGTCAGGCAGTAATACAACATAATATCTCATCGGTCATCTACAGTAGCTGTATCTAACAGCATTCCCTTATAGACCACTTATAAAACAACTTTAGGGTTTTGTCCATAAATGATTTCATAAGTTCATCACACAAACCTTAACAAAGCAGTCATAAGAAGAGAGGTTGTGTCGCACTGAATCCCGCCAGCCCTTGTAGTTCCCTTTAAAAAATGGGAAGAGGGTACTGATCTCCTTCAGGATCTAGAAATAAAAAAAAAATACATCAGTTGGTTGCCCACAAGCACAGAAGACGAAGAATGTATATTACACGATCAGTTCCTTTATACAAGGATAAATCTGGAACAGACATGATTTTGCTGTGACTTGTATCTTATCACTATCCTGTAACAGATCAGTGTCTGGTTTCACTGCTGTCCAACCTTATCAAAGCAAACAAAGAATGGCAGGAATGGTGGTCACTCAAGTGTCACCGAGAGGTGGCTGTTTTCTGTCACTTTCTGTGACAGTGCATGGACATTTGGGCATTTTACACTTAAGTAACTGCAAACAAAAAAATTTAACATGTCTCTGAAAAACACCCACTTAATTAGAGTGGAAAATAGTTGTCCTTCAAACTGAATCCACAATGCACAGATTTAATAATGAAACTTTCAGGACACAGAAAGTTGTTACTGTTTAGTTTTTCTTTAAGCGTCCTTGGGTCTCTTGACACTATATAAATTCAAGTTATTATTTTGCCAACAGCAGCATGAACTATTCTTATCATATATTGTAAATAACCAGAGAGTTATATTTGGAAAGAGAAGTCATTTTGGACTTTTCACATTATACATCACATAAGATGTAGAACATAATTTTCCTTTTTTTGTTACAGGTTTTGTCCATTTTACTATAAATCTAATTATAAATCTGTCCTTGCACTTTCAATACAATTATAACAAAGTTTATTTTCCCTGATAAGCAAACACCAGATCCTTGTAATTGAGTGTTTTTCCTCAGGACTAAAACACACACAATGTACATTATCCTTGCCCAACACAGCACTCACACAGCACCGGTGTATTTTCATTCTTACCTCAGATAATGTCAGTTTCTTCTCCGGGGACCTTTGAATGACCATAGCGATCATAGCCAGATATGAGTACGGTGGTTTGGGGTACCGCTGATAGTTCTTTTTCTTCGCATCACTGCTCCTACTTTTCTTCCTTTCGTTGTTCCACGAGTCTCTGTTAATGGTTTCCTGTTTGAAGTGGGCATCTTGCGCATTCGCGAATGACGCACCCTGTGGCACGCTTTTATCCATGAACGCCGTGGCACTGGTGAGATGTTCCGGGAGCGCAGTGAGCTTCTCCAAGCGCGGCGGCTGCTGGGGAACCATCTGAGCCGGGTGGAGAGACCAATGTTGGGCCTGCGAGTTCCACGTCACACCGCTGGTGATAGGAAGACTCTTCTGTGCATTTCTGTGGAAGTCAAGTTGATGGTCGTGGTGCTCTCCGATGTGGTGGGACAGAGCGGGTGGTGCCAAGAGACTCTGCTCCGGCCAGTGCTTTGTCATGCTGATGATCAGCCCGGGGGGAGATCGGCCTGTGGAGTTCGGACAGGAGCGCTGAGAGGGGGGAGGGAGGTCACAGGAGTCGGTCCTTAACTTCTGGCAGACTGCTGGCTCCAAGCTGACTCTATTTGAAGAGCAAACAATTAACAGTTTCATGTAAATCCCGCTGCGTAATCGAGGGGGGAATGACGCGTTATCTGAGAGCAGAATGAGCGATCACCTTAGGGGGTGGGGGTGTGTGGGTGGTTGGGGGGGTGTAGAAAGGGGCAGAGAGAGAGAGAGAGTAAACCTGTAAATAACGCTTAAGGTAATATCAACATACCACTTACAACAGATTCACAGATTCCGAGTTTGCTTTGGAAACAGTGCCAATATACGCACGAAAGCTGCCTGTGAGGTATGTGTGTACGCGCCCACGTTTGGAGGTTAATAAACTTAAAATAAACAAAGTTTATTTCAAAACGAACAAAGATTATTTGAGACAAATTAACTGTTTCATCATGTCAACAAAAACTACACGACTGGATTTTTTAAGGCTTTTCAATGATACTGAGGACTTTCTTCTAAAGGTGTGGGTAAAACTCGAGGGGGGTGGGGTGAGCTTCAAGAAAGAATTAATCTCGATTGAAGCTGACATGCAATCAACAATTTTTGACGAGCAATATACATAGGGAACGGCTAATATACAAACACAGAAATAGGGTAATTTGTCAGCTGAAATAATTAAGTAATCGTGGCATTACATGGGCTTCATCCAAGAATCTTCTGGATTGAGATAAATTCATATTTTCCAAAGCTTATTGGTGCAAGTTAATCTTATTTCACAAGGCAAATCGTGCACCTTTTAACCTTCCAAAACATTATTACATTTCGAGGACAGGACACGTTGGGATTAGTCAGCAGATGCACAACAGCGAGTTTGGATGCGTAATTGTAGAGGGTCTGAGAGCGCACAGCAGTCTGGGAGCCTTGTGCGCACAGTAGGGTCTCCCTCCCTGGGACTTTGCAGGATGGCATCCAAGTTTCGGGAATGCGCGTCTTTTGTCCACGTTAACGTAGTGCTAATGTGCAAACCGTTGCGTCCCAGCAAGACAGTGAAAACAAGTTGGATTAGAAGGAACCCCATTGTCAGGCTGGAGACTGTTCCAGCCCCGACAGTCTGCTTAGCATGTGACGAAATACGGGGGCTATTCAGCACCATTTGTGGGTTTTCTGGCGCTTACAAGCTGCGAAGTGTTGCAGATGGGCAGGACATTCACACCTCAAACAGCAGCAATCATGTTTTTTTTCTCCGGCAACTGTTGGAACCGGCATTAAAAATCCTCTCGAACAAAAACTACAACCTGAGAATCAACAAACTGTCTTTTTATGTAATAGGCTTCCAAAAAAGCCTTATATTTATTCAGGCTTTTTAATTCTATTGATCTGCTGAGATAATGAAACACAACTGTCGTGAATCAAGTGATTGTGCCAAGACACAGAAACTGATTTTTTTCAGTTTTTTCCCCAAATTTCTCTGCACCTTTAACCGATATCACATCATTTCAACTCAACTGTCATGTTTCCTAGTGCACTATAAATCATTTTTAACCTATAAATTGCGCGTGGAATTACCTGAAAAGATATTATTCTTCAGTTTCAGGTGACACCCGGCGTTTTCTTTAGGTGACGCCAAACAACACGTGACCTCTCCAAACATTCAGCTCTAAATTTCCCTTCAATATGGCACCTGTTGGATTCGCTCCATCAGGCGATTGCAAAATAAAGTAGTATATTTTTAGTTTGAAGAGTCTTGAATCATTAATAACGTTGTCAAAAACTTACCACGCGGATTTCCAGCTTTTGCAGTCGTGCGTAAATGTTTGTGCGTGTTTGCGGGCCAGATGATGGCTACCTAAACATGATGGGCAGCAAACACCCTTCACCTGCTGAAAATTGGCCTGACTGAGGTTATTCTCTGGTAGTCACTGAGTTTGTCTCCATCTAGTGGTTTCACTGACAATCAAATGAGAAGCTTCACTTTGCCAAATGACAACAGTTTTGAAGAGTTCTGTCTTTTTATCTGCAAACAGAGATTCCCTCCGTCTACCTGATGCAGTGTGTTGTCTAAGAGAGTTTCTTTTTAAACAAGTACAGACAAAACCCCCTCACCCACACTGCACAGAATTTAGATCCTAATTTACATGACCTCTCACCAGACAAGCGGATTTAAATACAAACTGTCAATCTATCGCTTCCTGTCAGCTGGAGTGCCAGTTAATAGGTTTTTGCCTGGATTAGTGAGCCATCCCTGAGAAGAATGGAAACACAAATGAATAGGATGGTATCCAGAACAAGGCCGTCCACTCAGGCTGATTGTGTCTGGACAAATCCCCCTCTCCAAGCTGCCCTGGAATGTTTCCTGATACCAAGATGGATAAATTAGGTTTAACTTTCCTTAGACGGAGAAAGTGAAAGGGAGTTTTCATTGTGCTGTCACTGCTTCATCACTACGAGGGTGTCATGTATACTATGACTTGTTCCTCTGTTTTACAACTATTTATGTTTATTTTATTGATTATTTCACAAAAACGTAGCACATCTGAAAGCTCACTAGTCCCTCATGTGCAGCTTTTTCAGGTTATTCATACCCCACATCAGAAGTTCTTTAACTTCTGTCTGAGGTACCCGGCTGAAGTGTCTGCTTCTTCTACAATGCACATGGCTACATTTCACAGTGTAAATGAACAAGCTTTCTAAAAAATATTATTTTGTGCAATCTATGCAGATTTTGATATATGCCTATAAATATTGCGTTAAATAAAATGTAAATTCGGCTTCCTGCAGGGGTCAGCAGATCTCAGATCATCAACACTGTTCTGTTTAAACTATTCAAAACAGGTTGTGATGCTTTTTTTGGGGAGTGCCATTTGGATTAAGAAAACAACTGAAGGTTGAAAACAGTCAAACTGTACAGTTGGTTAAATTGATATTTAATGATGGGGTTGTGAATGGAGCATGTTTTCAGGCATGAGTCAACTGTATTTAAAAGCGAGAGAAAAACACACCCTTACTTGTAATTGTGACGAGACAGCAGTGCATTTATTTTTGTGAGACCAGATATACAGGTAATATTCACTCTAACCCTCCCGGTATCCAAATGTGTAGAATGTGTGAACTCATAATCCAAAATGAGCAAAATAGTGTAGCAATCACACATGTTCACAGTTTTACTATAAGTATTTTACCTTTAAGTGAAAAGCAGGGACTGTGTACTCAGTTTAGTACATTTGGTAAATGCATTTGCCATAAGTGAGAGATACTGTCTCAAGAATCACAACAGACCCATCAACATTCATTTGCACCTGCACATGAAAGACAAGGAAATTGGGAAAGGTCCCCTAAAGTGACTTTTTCCGAATGCAGCTCCAGAGAAAAATATCGGAGGACATTTAGGCTAAAAACATGGTGTATATGACATTGTTTCAAATTGAATTTGAATGTCAGGGCTTACATTCAAATTTGGATGACACCACAGGAGCAGTATTCAGGCATGTTATGTTCACCATTTACATAAATTGTATTTGATTGGGCTGCAACGCTGTTTACCCCTGAAACTCCAAAAGTGTTTTGTGGACTCAAACACTTCACCCACCCCTCCATCAGCATGGTGGTCAGTAGATAATGAGTGGATTTTAATTTTTCTGTTTCCCTTTAACCATGCAATAATATTTTTCCATGCATACAATTTCATACGTGTGCAATACTGTTTACACTGCATATATTCTACTTTTTACAGTTCCTTGACTTTGCATAGTCATTTTTACTTCTTTATTACCTATCACTTCCTCCCTGCTGCTGCACCGGTACCTCTCCCCACGGTGGGGCTAAATGTTGCGTGTTGCTGCTGCACCGTCCGAAGTCCGAAGACTCTGCCGCCCTCTGGTGGGACGTGAACCCGGGAGGAGAGGGCGCAGGTTCGGTTGTTATGGTGAAGCATTCCCCCTGAGGGCTGGAGCACAGGACAGCTGCCGACCTCAGCGTCACAGCCGCGGAGCAGCACAGGAGCCCCCCGTTGACCGGTCCCCTCCACAGGTAGGATGTCTCCTCTCTGTTTTTACACGGACGCTGTCCTCTCGTCTGTCTTCACTTCCCCTCATGTCCGTCACTTTGAGGCGACTTTACGTTTTATTCGCACTCTGAGCGACGCGGTGAACGCAGCTAACCTGAAGCTAAGGTAACGCTAGCGTGACATGATATCGATGGCAGCCGAACGCGTCGCAGCTCCACAGGTGCTCTTGTCATTTTGAACGGTTCGGACCCGCCGTGCGGAGGATAAACAGGCCGGTGTTAACTCTGTCTGCTCCCCCCGGCGAGATGGCTGGAGACAGGCAGCTTAAATGAGCTGTTTACGGTACCTGTCAGTCCAGCCCGCCCGTGGAGTCCGTCTGCGGACCGCTCGGTAAATTAGCTAATCTGGTAATCCTCCGTGTGTGCGGGGCAGCTCGTGGCGCTTCCTGTTGTTGCTGCTCAAACAGTTTTTAATAGACTTTAATAACTTTTACTGTTGCAAACTGTGAAAGTGAATAGTTGCAGTGGAACAAGTGCAAACACCTTGAGGCTAAACTGTAAAAACACCCGTACGTGACATTATATTACAGGCTGCAGCTCATAGTTCAATGTCAAGGCAATTTATTGTGATTCTATAATAGTTATTCTTATATTTAGCTTGATACTGAAAGGGTGATGCATAAACTACACCCAAATATAGAATAATCCATAATCCCACATTTTTGCCTACACATAAAGTTTCCATAACCAACTCCCCTTTAACCTGCTCTCTGTGAAATGTAAGTAATTTTACCAACACATCGGCAGCTTTTTTGCAGGGTTATTGTATGACAGTGGTTTTTACAGCTTGTTATGTTTTAAATAAATGTGTTTATTCTAAAGAATAGTTTTTCTGTGCAACAACACTGACTTATTGACATGGTGCTCTCAACACAGGTCTCAACACCTCCACTCGTGCCAACTGCCACTTGGTTTCTTCTACAGAGCTGAATCAAGCAATCAAAAAGTGAATCAGCCCTCTGTCATCCACAAGCAATTCAAAATGCCACAGCTAGACCTCTAACTTTTCACAGACAGCCCCATACTACACCCATACTTGGTTCAAAGTTCTCACTCTTGCACATAGAACACTGCACCTTTAAGTGCCGACACATCTGACCTATCTCCCCCACGTTCTCTCTCTCAGATCTGATGGTTTAAATCTATAACACATCCTACACTAGCAACCGTTAAGCTTTGCTGAATCTGTGAAATCATTTAGATACCAGTTAAGGACATACCTGTATAAATATAGCCACACAGGTGACTTGTGTGTACCAGGTGTGTCTGCTCATACACTGTAATGGACTCTATATTCTACATTTATCAACCTGAACCAGTGTCCTGATGGCTTTATGTTCAAGTGGCAGTTGAGTAGGTGAGACGTGGATGTGGTAAGACACGTGATGCATGCCACAGTCATCATTTATTCTTGTCAGGCCAGACTGCTTCTTCAAAAGAATTTTCTAAGTATGTTCAGGTTTCACAATATAGAACTAGATTAGCTTGTAGGCTCCTTGATACTTGACGTGACACTGACAGGCAGGTACACACATGGACACATGCACACACACTACAGACACTCGACAGCAAACGTTTTAACAGAGCACTTTATCAGGTTCTGTAGAAAGACAAAGACTTTAACACGTTGTGAAACTTGAGGTAGAGTTCTTAATTGTCCCAATATAGTTTTTCATGATAGGACAAAGTGATATAAAGGTCACATTGTTCTTTGCTATAGATTTGCCTTCTGTTATATTCCTTCCCTGTGCCTACACTCCCACTTGTTCCTGTCTTTTCTTACTCAGGCACCATATTTGTATGTTTAAATGTGAGGGATTCTGCAGGTGGATGCCACATACACCATCTTCTCCCACGGGCACCATTTAAAGATTCTTTATCCCTGTGTTTTTTTCTCGCCACCTCCGAGCCTGCCTGCATGACATGGCCTTACATCCTGCTCGGGAGCATTTAGAGAGGTTAAACCAGGCTGGTCTGTGTGTCTTACTCCTCCCCATCCTTCCTCCTTCTCTTATTCTCTTCTATCTCCTTCGCATTCCTTCCTCTACATCTCTTGTCGTCTCATTCAACATCCTGTTCTCCAGAAAAAGTTGCAACCCATCATCGATTTGTCTTCACGGTTCAGTTTCAAAAATAAATATTTCAAGATCTGCCTCCATTACACACACACACACACACACACACACACACACACACACACACACACTATTTTCCTCATGGCCTCTTACTCTCACTACTCTGTGGCATTACTGAGATTTCTGAGTGATTACATGGAGCAGCTGAAACCTTTACACATGACAGGACTTAATGTGCCCACCTCCTCTCAACTAGATCCCCCTCCCTCTCTCTTATGTAGTCCTTCTTGTTCTGTCCTTCACTCAAGGCCTGTGTCAATTAATCAATTAAAAGTTAAATTCACATTAGAATTGCATTTTCCCCTGAAGTACACTTTGATGTCTTATTTTGTCCCACTAACAAATAATAAACTCATACTTGAACCCTTTCACCTCTGCTTCCCTCATAGATTGAAGAGCGGCAGAAAAAAATGGCTGTTCCAAATATTTGGCAGGCAGTGTAGTTTATCTGGCATTGTTTCATTTTGCAGGCGTGATCATTCTGGAATCATCAAGCTGTATTGAGTTAGCATTGTTTGTTTCAGTGAACCGCCAGGTCCTGCAGGTCACATCACACGGTGCACTGGGCAGATTGTCGCACACTACAGCTGAGCACTGTCGTCCTATGACGGCGAACCAATTACTATAACGCACAGCACCAGGCGAGTATGACTTTTGGCTGTGTGTTTTCGCGTATCCTTCATTTTTTAGGTACCACCCACCTGTGTGTGTGTGTGTGTGTGTGTGTCTATAAAATCATAGTAGTCTATTCATTCCGGCTGTTGAATGAAAGTTATGTTTGTGAGCAGCTGTAGACAGCCCTTCCTGTTAGGTCAGTAGGTGGAAAAAGTCAAGCGGTCTATAAATGTCGTATTGATGCAGGGACACTTTTCCAAACACAAAATATTTCATCTTTTTGTAATGTGCTGTGACCTCACCTCATCTTTTTCTGGTCTTTCCAGTCTGTTCCTACACAGTTTATCCACCAACAAATCTTCCATTCTCCATTTGTGCACGGCTTTAATTCTCAAGAGGAAAAACTAGCTGAGAGTAAAGAATTGTGATCTTAGGTCACTTCATCCACTGATGGCAACATGGAATAAATATCACAGCGAAGTTTACGTGATGTAGTAAAGAAGCCAAGTGATCCCTCTGAGTTAATGCATGCTTACTACGCTAATGATGTCTGAGGTTGATGTGAGCTGTAAATTCACTACATCTAAGCAGAAGGCAGGAGATAACGTGACCGGGCTCTACAGCAGATACTGAACTGAAAGGCTGAAAGTTAAGAGAATAAAATAAAAAACAAAAAAGAATGTTGGTAATATTGGTGTAGTTTAATGGAGATGAATCTGGGTTGCAGAGAGTCACATCAGAATCAGTGTGGAAGTAATGATGTGTGTGGTTTATATAAAAGTAGGATAGAGTCATGTTTCAGGCATGTAAAGAATGAACTAACTTTACTCTCGACTATAGTGTCTAAAAGCAGCTCAATGTTTTCTCAGTGTTGCTTTTTTTGGTTATGTACTGTGCAAAGACTGCTCTGTAGGACTGTGTGGGCCTGAATGCAAATACGGCTTTTTGTTTGGACCTGTGATCTTGTTGTGACGTTCATGTTTGTGTACCTAGAATAATCAGACACGAGAACAGCCATCACCGAGTTGAGTCTCTGCCTCACCTTCATTCCCCTGGTACCCAGCACTGATTGGCTTTGGCTGAGATTTCAGTTGTCTGGCTCGCTGATGAGTAAACATTGTCCTGAGCCCGTTGTGTATGTGTTTGTCAAGTAGGGTTGGAAATCAGAGTAACTCATGATACGATACTATGACGAAATGTTGCACATGATAAACACGATAAATTATTTTATTGACTTAAACTGTGTTGCAACACATTTGTCTTAGATACATCACGATATGTGTGGAATTGGATAAGGAAAAATATCCTGAAAAAGACAAAAACATTTATTTTTAATTAGTTATTCGATCATCTATAAACAGCTGAAATGCATGATTGACAGCTGACATTGACCCACAATAAGCCGTGTTCATGTCTTGCGGGGACTCCCCCGGCTGGTCCCCTTTTTCATTCCTGCATTTTGCAAGAACCGTAATCTGATTTCAACCTTAACACAGTCAAATACTGCCTTTTAAGGATAAATTCTTCATTTTATAAAGTGTTTCGTTTGTGAACCACACAGAACAAAAGTTTGAGAGTAGGATTTTTATTCCACTGATCTCTCAGATTGTGCCTGGAATTATCCCTCTAATACAACAGTTAAGTTCCTGCATGGATTTTCCTAGTTTCTTCAATCCTTTGACCCTTTAAAGCCCCTTAAAATACCACAAAACACATTCCCCTTTTTCATTTGTCAACTGTGGTTACTAAAACTGGCAGAGCCTTATTGTGCCTGAAGGGTTTCAGATAGAACAAGTTTTCCTGTCAATGACATGACTTGTTCCTGTGGGAGGACGAGAAAGAAAGCCCCCTCATGGATCACTGGTATGTTAGAAATGAAGCTAACATTCGTCTTCTGTTTGGTCTCGATCCTGTGCATGTTCCTGTTATTTTTGAATGAATGATCCATGTAGTAGCTACTCTTTGAGGGAATGTTGGGTTATTACCTCAACCTAAGGAAATCCTCACATTGTCGCTTGTTGTTCCTTTTACACAAAGGGTGAGAGGTTGGGTATCCTAAAAATATCACAGTGGCATAAAGGAACTAAATGATCCGTGACTTCTCCAAGATTTTAGTGTTGGTCAAGTAAGAGGCCTCATGTTGTGTGTGCCTGGTAGTTCATAATGTTTACATATACATACACAGAGATATTGTAGGTTATGATTTTTTTTCAGTGACTCTTACTGAGATTTCTGCATTTTATTTTCCCCTGTTAAAAGTGTTTTTGTTTTTTTATCAAGGGTTAAATCTTGTAAAATTGTTTCGCAATTTGTGATCTAAACAAATAAAATGCGATTGATTGATATCATGAAGCCGTAATACTTCAAATATCTTAAAAAAATAAGAGATAAATATTTGTTTCAATTGTCAGGTAGATGCTACAATAGGCCACACATCCTTTGGTAAATCCCATAACATATTTAGAACAAAATCCATCATTATTATCAATCCTTATCTACCCACCAACCAGAACTGTTATTCCACCATGGCACAAATGATTGGTCTAAAAATGTACCTAATATCTTTTGTAAATACAGTGATATCATTGTGATTGTTTTTTAGGACTGCGCTATTTTAAACAAACAAAATATAGTTGAACATTTGCATAGATTCTTGGAAGAATTAAAATACTATGTGATAAGAAATTTTAAAACCTGTTACTTTCACTTCTTGGAAGTAAAAACTTAAGAGGAACCCCATAACTAGTTCCTGGTTATTATGATCCACTCTACATCTGTTAACCATCTAATCTGCTGATTTATGCAGAGCTGTGAACTCACCAAGCTACAGTGGCTCTGTGGCCCAGGACTACAGTCTTGTCTGTCACTCTCTCTATCTCACAGAGTGCCTCTAGTTGACCTTCCTCTCAGTGCTCACAGGCCCAGGCCTAAATAATAAATGAATTGCCTGGAAAGAGCCGAGTGTGTGTGTGTGTGTGTGAGCCACATAACTTAGCTGCAAAGTTAAGGAAAGCTAATGAGAGTGATCTTTCTGACAAAGGTCGCTACTTGCACTGAAACATGCCACGTGGTCACTATTTAAGCGCTTTCTCCACAGCATTGTTAATGTCAGCGTTGCCTTGCTTGTATGCTGGTTACAGCAAAAGTGTGCGTTGTGCTGCAAGGTGTGTCAATCATTAATGAAAAGCCTCCTACCGTCTCAAGTTTCCTTCTGGAGAGGAGTGGGAGAGGAGGGAGTAGGGGGAAGGAGCTCAGGGGTTAAAGATAAGATTAGGAGAGCACCGTGAGGAGTGCCTACATTATACTGTAACACAGTACTCACATTTCCCCCTCCTGATGTTTCTTCTTCTTCTCTTTCACAGTTCCAGACAGAAACAGTTTCATCGAGCAACAAGTCACTGAAGCAACTTATATATTTTGAAGACCTTCCAGAAAGTGCATCGGCAGCAACAAGTCTCCACTCAGCACCAGGAGATATTTGAATGCCGCTACCCACAATCCCTTTCAGTAAAAACTTGATTTGAATATTGTGTTGTCCCTTTTCATTGTCATTACTTATACCCACAGCCCCAGTTCTTTCTACCTTGTGGATTTATCCTTTACAGCGACCGTATTTTCACATGGATTGTTATGAACTAGCTGCTCTTGTGGATACAAGTGTTGGATGCAATAGCGACTACAATGAATTTTAAGCTAAAGTGGATCGTCCAACCTGGAGAGTAGTTTGACTCTTTGCCTTTTGAGCGCCACTTGTCATCCTCTGTTTCTCTTATCCCCAGTGGATTGTTGGCCAAGTTACCCACAGTTGACATGGATGGGAGGACTGACAGTTCGTCTAAAATCACAGCTCGGATGCTTGTGTTTTGGACGCCTCTCTCTCATGTTTTTTTTTCAGCAAGATAAAAATCGTTTGAAGAAGATGGAAAAGAGACACTACAACAGTGTTAAGTGTTGCTTACTTCATCATGGAGATATCTGTGACCTGATGATGAAAAATAAGTTGATTTGATTCTCAATTTATCAGACACTGCTTCCTTGTATTTTGTTTAATGAAAGAATATTTTCAAAGCATCTTTTTGTGCTGTCTCACAGACAAAGGCCTGTGTGGCCTTGCTGGAGGGCCTCTTTAAGGGCCCCAAAGGAGGCATATGAGAAATTTTGGACCCTGAAAACTTTGATCTAATATCCTTGTGGATTAAGACAAACAGGAATTGGCCCCGTGACAGTTTGTCGTGTTGTGGTGGCATGGCAACAGATCACGGCGAGCTGCTGGCTGAAATGGCCACGGTTGGGCGTCTGAGTGCCACAGAACGCCTGAAGCATGCCCAGAAGCGACGTGCTCAGCAGCTGAAGGCCTGGGTGCAGATGGAGAAGGACTCAGTGCGAGGGTCGAGGGCCAAGGCGGACAAGAAGAAGGCACGCACCACCAAAGTGACATTCCCTTATACCGTCACCCTTCTAGATGCAGCTGCTCGCAATGATGTGGAGGAAGGTGGGTACAAACACTCACTCAGACAATTTGTAATAGGGAACGAGCGATTGACTATTCCTAATTATCTAATCCAGGGCCTTCTCACCTGGATAAATTACATCTTGTGACAACAGGCCAGTTCTGAAAGTCACAGGACACCATGACCCTTGCATTTGTGTATAGTTTTATTGACTTGCTGATGGCATTTCTGAGATATGAGCACCCTTATCACGCGGTGGCTTAGTGTTCTGTACAACCCACAATTAAAGCAAGAGATCAATGTATTATTCAAATTGGTCACATCAAACTTAAATTATAAAAGGCCTCATTTTATTCAGCCATTGGATCAGGCTAATTAAATTGGAAAATGTCATTGTTATTCTCCGAATACAGACCACACACACACTCACTAACTTGGTGTAATCTGTTATAACTGCAAGAGCGAACAGATAAGTGCCAAGTGTTTTAATGTTTATGTGTAAAGGACTCTGCCCAGGTGGTCTGTCATAAATGTGTATGTGTCTGGTTGTGCTTCTTCTAGTGAGGGAGCTGCTTAACAGTGGTATCAGCCCAGATCTGGTCAATGAGGATGGATTGACAGCCCTTCATCAGGTACATGCACACATGCGCACACACACAAACTGATTCCAGCTCCAGCAACTCCTCCGATACTGCCAAAAATGCCAGGTCAGCCATCGGCGAGCCCACAAATCCATGTATCGATCTTCTGAGAAAATAAATTCTCTACAAAATTGTTGCAGTGGTTTTAGAATGATGCTGCTGGAGTTTATATTTAATGATGAAAAAGAAGTATTCTCAGACTCATCTGTTGATAACATCATCTCAGATACAGAAGCAAATTTGGTTGTAACAATCAAAATGACCTCCTCCCTTCATCTTCATCCTTTTAAGTGGCTTTATGCTCAGGTACTCACTCCCATGTATTCATCACCTGATACAAATATAGCCTTGCAATCTCCATTAATCTCTGTTAGAAGAGTGAAGGCAACAGTTACAGTCACATTTAGAGGGAAACATCTTAAGATTCATGCGTTTGGGATCTTGCCACACACACAACTAAAAATACACTGCAACCGTTGTTGCTTAGATGGCCACTTTCTCTATGTTTCTCTTTCTAAATTAACACATACACATGCACCTACAGACGCATGAAAGCACAGAGAAGTCTTTATGGGAGCAGTTGGCTCCACTTTTTTTTCCCTTGGAAAACCTGGTGTTTACACAGCAGAGGGCTGGACCATGTATGCTTATGTATTTCACTGTATTAGCTGGCGTAAATAATGATCCATAGATTTCCATTCTCATTGTGTTTCTTTGCCCATAGTACAGATTCTGCATGTTTGTTATGCTTGTTTTTTTTCTTCTGTCTGTGCTGCATTTTCATCCATGTGAAGATACATCTTAATTTACATCGGCCCTTTCTTCTCAGTGCTGCATTGATGACTTTGTGGAGATAGTGCAATGTCTGCTGGATGCTGGTGCCTGTGTGAATGCCTGCGATAGTGAGTTATGGACACCACTGCATGCTGCTGCCACCTGTGGACACACTGGTCTGGTGCAGCTCCTGATCCAGGCGTGAGTTTGGCCTTGAGTGTCATTGCTTTACTCTGTATTAGTGTCAAAATTAGCATGGCAAAAAATGATTTAGAAATTCATAAGCTGATGCAACTGTGTTTTGACAAGCATTGTATACTCCTTCCATTCATGGATGTTATTTTATACACCAAAGTGTAAACAGACTTACCCCCTTTCCTCCGAAGTGAGCTGGTGCTAGTGCTGTTCAACATTGAAACCTTTTAAAAACCACTTTGCTTTTCCATGGACTAGAGCCACGTCATCACATCACCATATACGTGACACACACACAGAAACACACACACAC